GCCCCAGTCGCCAGGTTAGAATCTATCAGACTCTTAATCTCATTTGCTGTTAATAGAGGCATCACTCTGTATCAGATGGATGTCAAAAGTGCATTCTTAAATGGTTATATAGAAGAAGAAGTTTATGTTCACCAACCCCCAGGTTTTGAAAATACAAAACATCCAGAACATGTTTTCAAACTGAAAAAGTCACTGTATGGTCTGAAACAAGCTCCCAGAGCTTGGTATGAAAGGCTAAGTAACTTTCTGCTTGAAAATGAATTCACCAGAGGGAAAGTGGACACTACTCTATTCTGTAAAACAGTTAAGAGTGACATTTTAGTCTGTCAAATTTATGTTGATGATATTATTTTTGGTTCTACTAATCCTTCTCTTGGAAGAAAATTTGCTAAGTGTATGCAGGCAGAATTTGAGATGAGCCTCATGGGGGAACTGAAATTCTTTCTAGGAATTCAGATCAATCAAACTCCAGAGGGAACTTACATTCATCAGAGCAAATACATCAGAGATCTTCTGAAGAAATTTGACCTCTCAGAATGTAAGCCATCAAAGATTCCAATGCATCCCACGTGCATTCTGGAAAGAGAAGAGGTAAGCAAAAGCGTAGAACAGAAAGTCTACAGAGGTATGATTGGTTCTCTCCTTTATCTGACTGCTTCAAGACCTGATATTTTATTCAGCGTATGCATTTGTGCTAGATTCCAATCAGATCCTAGAGAATCTCACTTAACAGCTGTTAAGCGAATTTTCAAGTATCTGAAAGGTACTACTAATCTGGGTTTGTTTTATAGAAAATCTAGTGATTACAGCTTAGTAGGCTACTGTGATGCTGATTTTGCTGGAGACAGAGTGGAACGTAAAAGTACTTCTGGAAGCTGCCAGTTTCTGGGAGAAAATCTGATCTCATGGTCCAGCAAAAGGCAATCAACAATTGCTCTGTCAACAGCAGAAGCTGAGTACATAGCAGCAGCTGGTTGTAGCACACAAATGCTCTGGATGAAAAGTCAGCTTGAAGACTTCCAGATTTTTGAGAGTAACATTCCTATTCTTTGTGATAATACTTCTGCTATTTGCTTAAGTAAGAATCCTATTTTACATTCTAGAGCTAAGCATATAGAAATAAAACATCATTTCATTAGGGACTATATTCAGAAAGGTATTTTAAACTTGAAATTTATAGATACAGACCATCAATGGGCTGATATCTTTACTAAACCCCTTTCAGAAGATAGGTTTAATTTCATTCTGAAACATCTCAGCATGAAAGTATGCCCAGAATGAAAATGTTTTAATTCCATGTATTTATCTTCAGAATGTAATTATATTACTGTGAACTTCTGATCAATCTTCCTTCAGAAAGATAGAACATGCAGATTGTATCAGATGCAAGTCTAAAGATCTGAGAGTCTAATCTCAAATACAGACGTGCTGATCACTACATCAAACAAGTGTCATCCAATCATCAGCAAATCCCTGAAGCAGAACGCGTGCACGCCTCTGAGAAAGGAAAGCGCTGATTGGGTGCATTGAGACACATGTCTGGTAACCGTTTTTAAGTATCTTTCTCAAATCCCCCAAAATCAGCAAGCATTTAATGAAAAGTAATCACGCTTGTTAAATGGCAATCATTATTTTTTTCTCTCTCTTAAAAACGTTTAATTTTTCAAAATAATTTTTGAAAACTCTATTTAAGCACATTAATCCTTCACTCTTATTCTTTACGCTTTCTCATAATCATTCAAGTATTCTCTGCATATTTCTGAGTTTATCTCCTACAAACCTTTTTCTCTCAAATCATTCTCAAAGCTTTTTTGTGAGAACAATGGCATCCTCCAGCATTTTCACTCTTGACATGCCCCCACAACCTTAAAATTTTTTTTCATGCATGACATTCTCTATGTTTTCTTCATTTTCTGATGTCTTGTTTTAACTATGTTTTGTAACGCTATTTTGCTCTGATCATGAACTATTTTTATATAATTTGTTTTTCTGATCTAAATCGTTTTAGCACATCACCAGCACTTTTTGATTGCTGACAAAAAGGGGGAGAACAAGAATGATATTTAAAATCAATAACGGCTAACTAGACAGAAATTCTCAAACATTCTAACTCTCTATTACTTGAAATGTTTTTCTGTTTTGTTTTTAAGTCTACAGGCACAATGAAGACTAGAAGCTAGATGCTCTGATCAAAATGTAGAAGCTCATGTTGCTCTGATCAAATATGAAGTTCTGATATATGAAACTCTGATCGTCCTAACACTCTGATCCGAAGCAAAGCTCTGACAGGAAAAGCTCTGAAGCTCTGCTCTCTGATAAGTCAAAGACTCTTATTCTGATGTTCAAAGATAGAAAAAGATCTGATCCTGAAGAACACGCATATCAAAGGGAAGTAACAAACTCAGGGGGAGTATCTCTTAACTCTGATTTCTCTTTACTTCTTAACTCTGAAACATCTCCTAGATACCTTTTCACGTTATTTTTTCATTTAAAATATCTAGTTTTTGTCATCATCAAAAAGGGGGAGATTGTTAGAACAATGTTTGAATCTAGTACCCTATATTTGAGTTTTGATGATAACAAAGTGAAAAGATATAGTATTTAAATGTTTCATGATTGAATTATATGCTGCCTAAAAATACTATGCTCTGACTTGCAGATATGCTGATTAAAATATGCAAGATCACTTCATCAGCATCAGAACTTGATTTGATACACCAGCATCAGAAGTTGCTGAATCAGAACGTGAAGATCAGATGATCAACTCACGAACACGCTGAAGCTTGATGAACAGAACTGCGCGTAAAACACTCTGATACAGAATCAATAGTTCATCAGCAGCTAAGCAGAATCAGAATGAGCCAAGCCAGAACGTGCATTGAAGAAGCAACGGTACTATGCATTGAAAGCTAATCAATTCCAACGGCTTCATTCCAGACAAGATCTGCTCAAAAAGGAAAGCTTGTTAATAGCATTGAATCAAGAATATTTGCATCAACGTTCATCTTCTCAAGTGCTATATAAACCAAGCTTCGAAGATTATAATGGCTAATGCTTCCAAACTCTCTACACGCACAAAGCTGAACAATAATCTTCATCTACCAGTTTTGCTAAACCAACAAACTCTGATACTCCATTAGCGTTTAGCATTCTAAGTTTCTAAGCTTCATTTGTGTAAACATCACAGTTGTGATATAGTTTTGTAGAAAACATTCACACACATTATTTTATACCTTTGTAAGAAAGTGTTGCCTTGACAAACCGGATTGTGGTTTGAATCAAGAAGGCTTTAGCAGTTGTTAAAGCAGATTTGTATTCAGTTGAATATAGTGAATTAAGACCTCGTTGGAGAGAGGCGAAATCACATTGACGGGTGGACTGGAGTAGTTTGAGATCAAACGAACCAGGATAAAAATATCTTGTCAATTGCTTTAAGTTTCCAGTTTTACAATTCAACCCCCCCTTCTTGTGTTTTTCACCCCTTCAAAATGTAGAAAGGGCATTCTGGACATTTTATTTGGTATTGTGTGACATGGCATAACAAAAACTTACAAATGTAACAAAAATATAAGCCACATCAGCCTTTTAGGTGATGTGGCATCCTCAAGGTAAAAACTGAAACTTTTAAAATTTGTCAAGGTAACAATTGAAACTTTTTTTTTGGCAGGGGGGTTTTTCAAATACACCCCATATGTCAGGGGTGAAAATAGATATTAACCCTTATTTAAATAGCCTTGTCACGAGAGTGGGAAATTAAATAAGGTTCGAGTCGGCACTGCGAGAGCGTGGGGTTCGAACCGAATAGTAGAAACTAGACATTAATTCTAAACACAACGAGTGCACTTTAATATTAATTAGAACTTTTCAATTTTCAAAACAAATTCCTTAATTAAAATCGGCGAGCGAGAGCAAAATCTCATGGTTAAGGAATGCAGATTTATTCAAAACCACGAGAGTGTGAGGATCAGTCTTTAAATTGATATTTCTACTAAACACATTTTTAATATCAGTATAAGCCAACGAGTTACAGAGTTCCAGAGGTACGCGGAATAACCATTCATTTTTAGTATCAGTATAATATCAGTATAAGTTACAGAGTTACAGAGTTACAGATTTCCTTAATCTTATTTTATTTCATTTTTAGTTCTTAGTTTCACAAAGCGACAATAGATTACAGTAGGTTAGCATTGGTCTCTGTGGGTTTGACAATATTTTATATTACTTAGATATTTTTGTGCACTTGCGGACGCATCAATCAGCGACATCAATAAGTAAAAGAGTTAGGGGCGAAACCTTTCACCCGACACTCTATCTATATCTATAGCTAGATCAATTCCTATTATTTCTCACCCAAAGGAACTCAACTACCTTTCGAGAAGACTGAGACGAGAATCACGATCTACCTTCCCTTCTGCCCTTTGTCCCGAGAAAAACTTTGCTTGAGAGAAAGAGCAGTCAGACTACTAGGGGAATCAGAATATCTTGAGCCAAGAAACTGCACGGAATGCGGGAAAAATGACAATTCAATTGGAATCCAAAAAAGATAGAAAACATGAAGTCAGGGGGAAATGGGGGAACCTAGGGAACATAAACTATTCCCCGGACTCGGGGAGTTGAGAGGTTTAGGCTTACTTTTCTTTGGTAGTGGATTCATATCACTAAATACTATAGTATACCGGCTAGTCTGGTGGCAGCATCTGATTACCGGTCACTAGCTTTTTATCAGCGATTAGCAGACGCAAGGTGAAGTTGCTCCTAGGCTCATAGGCAAGGGCGGATGAGAAATAAATTGTCTTGTATTTTCTTTCCCCTTACCCATAAACATACAACTCAAAGCAAGTGAGCAACTTGGGATATAAAGGTTCCAAGATCTTAGTAAAAAGGATAGTAGTCACTAGATATAAGCTATAGGATAGACTTGGGGATAACCTATATATAAGGTAAGGTCGATTCCCACACAATCCCCTGATAGATGGGGTATACCAGTGCACCAATCAAGGTCAAATTTCTTCTACCCAATCAGCATGAAAAGGCATTGAAGGGTGCAATACTTCTATCTTTTTGCCACTTCGTCTTATACCTGTCCTTTTGGGACAATCTCTTTTTTCATCTTTTCCATGGCCTTTCCTTTCATCTTTCAAAACTCTCATAAGATTATGCGCCTTCCCCTTACTAGATCAAATAGGGCAACAAAGAATGCTTTAAGAGCAACACACGAACAAAACGAGTATACGAATATTGACGGCATGAACACTGAATGAACAACTTTCTTCTTTTTATCTATATATGCTATTTCTTTTTTATCTTTCAAAGCGTGCTCAATGAGTCTATAAAGGCATAAATCGATATATGAAGCTGGGAACTTCCATCATAACAAATAGCCTTAGGTTGTTTATTTCCTTGGAGTTTTTGTTTTTGTTTTGTTTGGCTATCTATATTTACCTGGGAGAGGCAACTCTTCTAATAGACACTGGTGCTACTTTTCTACTACTATTATATACTATTATAATTAGATCGACGAAATTCATTATTTGTTTACATGTGTCTAGGTCGCTAATTGAGAAGAACTACCACTAAGATGTCTCAGAGAGAGAGAGAGAGGTCACCTTTTGTGTTTAAGATGCCTTAAGTGAAGTGTAAAGAAAAAAAGGAAGTGGGGGAGCACCTTGTTTTGTTTTCCCTATCACAGAGCCATCGGTATCCCTGGTAGAAAGAATCAAACGTCGAATGGTCCTGCGTACGATCAAAGCTTCTCAATGTTCCCATAGCATAGTCTAGTTTGAGCAACTTTCGCTCATCCTCCCCTTTAAAAGCTGAACCTCGGGCCAACATATAGCCCTTTGTCCTTTTCAGAAATCTGTTTTCTACTTTCAGTAACACTAAGGATACTTACCTGATAACATATATTGCGAGTAAGGTACTCTAGCGGCAGCAGATGGTTCAACTTCAGTATTAACTTATCGACCAATATTGATGACACCCCAAGGGTGGGCAGGAAATCTTCTAGTAATTTATCTTGATTCACCTGCTGAACTCTACAAATTGGAAGAGTCGGACTGGGAATAAGGGGAAGAGGATTCTTCATAATCTACTTAGTAATTGTTGGTTAAATTCAAACTAGTCTTGGGTAAATCAAAAGTCTGATTCCCTTGGGCAGTGGGAAATTTACTTCCTAGGGACCTAAACATTGTTATTGCTGTAACTCTTAATATTCTATCATGTGACTCTATATAAATCACATTGTATCTCATTGTAAAAGTTAGTTGGACAAATTTATAAAGAAGAAAGTTCAAAGTCCACTCTCATTCTCTTATATTTCTTCAAATTGGTATCAGAGCGCATGACAAATATGATGGGTCAGATGCCACTGCCACGACTTACAAAGTCGAACTATGAAAACTGGAGTATCCAGATGAAGGCGCTGCTGGGATCGTTAGATGTATGGGAAGTGACTAACGATGGGTTTGAAGAACCATCAAATACGACGACATACACAGCTTCACAGAACAAGGCGTTTAAAGAAACGTGAGCAAGGGACAAAACAACATTGTACATGATGTTCAGAGCAGTTGATGAATCAGTCTTCAAAAAGATTACTGGTTCGACCACGTCGAAGGTGGCGTGGGACACGCTTGAAAAGGCTTTCATAGGAGCTTATAGAGTCAAGCAAGTTCTCTTGGAAACTCTTCGAGGAGAAATGGAGAGAATGAAGATGAAGGAGACAGTCCGAATCGGGCTAGATTACTCGTGTGCAGACGATGGAAAATCAACTCAATCAAAATGGAGAAGAAACGTCTGATGCTCGTATTGTCGAAAAGATTCTGAGATCTTTGACAGATAATTTTGAAAACATAGTATGCGCAATAGATGAGGCGAAGGACCTTTCAACTATCATTGTCAAAGAAGTCGCTGGTTCGCTTGAGGCACATGAACAACGCAAAATAAAGAAGAAGGAGGAGGCACTTGAGGATGCAGGACCCAACAGAGATGAAAAGGCACTTTTCTCTCAAAATTGGTGTGGGAGAGGACATGGTCGTGGAGGACGTAATGGTGGTTGAAGTTACCAAAATAACAACTTCGACAGAGGACAATCAAGCCAACAAAATTGGCGTGGCAGAGGACATGGCCAGAGAGGTGGTAAATCGAATTACAACAACATCGAATGTTACAAATGCAACAAACAGGGGCACTATGCGAAATATTGCAACTCCTACAGTTTCTACAACTATGGTAAAACGGGAAATCTTGCAAAAGACTGTCGATCCAAAAGAAAGGTATAAGAAACAACAAATCTTTCCCTAGAAACAGAATCGAATGAAGGATTTCTGCTAATGACTCAAAAGGAAGCAGATGCAGAAAATGACACTATGTGGTACCTGGACTCAGGAGCAAGCAACCATATGTTTGGTCATAAGCATTTGTTCAAGGACATAAAGAAAATCAAAGACGATCATGTTTCGTTTGGAGAAGGAAAAGGAACAATCAGTTTCTTGCAGAAGAATGATTTGATAGGATCAATCCAAGACGTGTACTATGTACCAAACCTCAAAGCAAATATTTTGAGTCTGGGCAACTCACTGAAGAGGGTTATTAGATTCTCATGGAAGATCGAAGCCTGCATTTAAAAGACAAGACAGGACATCTGGTTGCTCAAGTAGAAATGGAGAGGAATCGAATGTATAAGTTAAATTTGAGAAGCATTCGATAAAAGTGTTTGCATGTCAATATCGAAGACCAAGCATCCCTGTGGCATCTTCGATTCGGTCATCTACACCAGGATGGACTAAGGAGGTTAGCAAGGAAAAATATGGTGCATGGACTGCCAGATGTAGAATTCGAAGGAAAATTCTGTGAAGAATGTGTGTTTGGCAAACAGACAAAAACTTCATTCCCAAGGAAGGCATAATATCAGGACAAGCAAATTCTAGAATTGATCCACACTGATATATGTGGAACAATTACCCCAGAATCCTTTAGTGTAAAAATATACTTCATATCCTTCATTGATGATTTTTCAAGGAAAACTTGGTTGTACTTTCTGAAAGAAAAATATGAAGCCTTCGAAGTATTCAAGAAGTTTAAAATAATGGTCGAAAAAGCAACAGACAAACACATCAAAGCCCTTCGATCAGACAGAGGTGGGGAATATACTTCGATAACCTTTACGAAGTACTGTGAAGAGAAAGACAAAGAAGATTTCCGACTGCAGCTTACTCACCCCAACAAAATGGTGTAGCTGAAAGGAAGAATCGAACAGTCCTTGACATGGTTCGATCAATGCTGAAGAGCAAAAACATGTCGAAGGAATTTTGGGCAGAAGCTGTACAGTGTGCTATCTACGTTAAAAATAGATGTCCACATTCGAAGCTGGGAGATTTAACACCTCAAGAAACTTGGAGTGGTCGAAAGCCAATTGTGTCTCACTTCAAAGTGTTTGGAAGTGTGGCTTATGCACATGTGCCTGATCAAAGAAGAACAAAGTTGGAAGATAAGAGTCAGAAATACATACTCATTAGGTATCATGAAAAAACGAGAGGTTACAGACTCTTCGATCCAATAAACAAAAAGGTGACAGTCAGTAGAGATGTTCGAGTAAACGAAGGAAGCAAGTGGGACTGGGACAATTCAAATGAGGTTGCGGTCGAAGTACCAGATGCTATATCGAAAGAAACTTCAACAGATCCAGAATACTCTGATGATGAAGAAGGACCCACACAGTCCAGGTTGCGAAGCTTACAAGACTTGTATGAAAATACAGAAGAAGTACATCTTGTATGTTTATTGGCAGACACTGAAGATGTCAGCTTCGAAGAAGCAATAAGAAACAAAAATTGGAAGAATGCTATGAATGAAGAAATTAAGGTTATCGAACGCAATGATACTTGGGAACTAGCTGAGTTACCAAAAATAAGTCAAACAATTGGTGTAAGGTGGGTGTTTAAGAAAAAGATAAATGCACAAGGTAAAATCGAAAGATTCAAGGCGCAACTTGTGGCGAAAGGATACAGGAAGAAAGCAGGAATCGATTATGATGAAGTCTTTGCACCTGTTGCAAGAATGGAGACTATTCGAATGCTCATATCTCAAGCTGCTCAATACAAATGGAAAATACATCAGATGGATGTTAAGTCAGCTTTTCTGAATGGCATGCTCTAAGAATAAGTTTACATCGAACAACCCCCTGGATTCAAGAAAATTGAAAATGAAGGAAAGGTGCTAAAGCTGAAGAAGGCACTTTATGGACTGAAGCAGGCACCACGAGCATGGAATACTCGAATTGACACATACTTCAAAGAAAATGGATTTCAGCAATGTCCTTTCGAACATGCCTTGTATGTGAAAAAGAAAAAAGAGAAAATACTGCTTGTTGCTCTCTATGTTGATGACTTGATTTTCTTGGGCAACAACAATCACATGATCGAAGAGTTCAAAAGCACAATGACAAAAGAATTTGAAATGACTGACCTAGGCCTGATAAAATATTTTCTTGGGTCTGGAGGTTCAACAGGAAGAAACAGGAATCTTCATCTCACAAGAAAAGTATGCAAAAGATATCCTAAAAAGATTTAAGATGGACAGCCGCAATCCTATTTCGACACCAATGGAGCCAGGAGCAAAGCTTTCGAAATTTGATGGGGGAGAGCGAGTCAAAGTAAACAAATTTCAAAGCTTAGTGGGAAGTCTTCGATATCTCACATGCACAAGGCCAGATCTTTCGTTGAGTGTTGGAATTGTGAGTCACTTCATGGAAGAACCAATTGTTTCACACTGGAAAGCTTTGAAGAGAATCCTTCGATATGTCCAAGGAACTGTGTCACTTGGAATGTTCTTTTTGAAAGCAGAAGAATACAAGTTAACTGGCTACTCTGATAGCGACTCGTGTGGTGACATTGATGATCAAAAGAGCACTCCAGGCTATGTATTCTTCATGGGAAACACTGCTTTCACCTGGTTGTCAAGGAAGCAACCCATTGTAACTCTTTCGACCTGTGAAGCAGAGTATGTAGCAGCATCCTGGTGCGTATACCATGTAATATGGATGAGAAGACTGATGAGCAAGATGGAATCGAAGCAGGAAGCTGCAACAATGATTCAAGTTGACAACAGATCTGCAATCGAACTGGCGAACAATCCAGTCAACCATGAACGAAGCAAGAACATTGATGTTCAATTCCATTTCATTCGAGAACATGTGAAGTATGGAAGCATCGAACTAAAGCATATTGCAAGCAAAGATCAAGCAGCAGACATCCTCACAAAACCATTGTCGAAGGAGCTTTTCGACAGAGGCAAGAAAATGCTTGGGATGATGGATCGAAGGAATATTTGAATTTATGGGAGAGTTTTGTTGGTTAAATTCAAATCAGTCTTGGGTAAATCAAAAGTCAGATTCCCTTGGGTAGTGGGAAATTTACTTCCTAGGGGCCTAGGCATAGTTATTGCTGTAACTCTTAATATTCTATCATGTGACTCTATATAAATCACATTGTATCTCATTGTAAAAGTTAGTTGGACAAATTTATAAAGAAGAAAGTTCAAAGTCCACTCTCATTCTCTTATATTTATTCAATAATGTCTAAAAACCCATTAACGGGTTAAGATCAATAGTCTTTACTCGAAGTAGTCACTAGAAGAAAGAAATACCTATGAACTCATCTACTACACTGGGTATATGGGAATTAGGACTGAAATGATATATGATATGGATGGTTTTCGAGCCTGGAAAAGACCTGTCTTTTTCACAAGATTGGTGAAACACGGTGAAACCCTCCCCATTTTAGAGGAAAAGAAATTTGATGAGTCCCTAAAAGGTTTTCTAAAAGTGGATTTATCCCGTTCTAAACTACTTTTGTTCCTTAGCACAAGTACAAAATGATATAAACCTTCTTGAAAACTCTATTACTTCAAAGAAAAAGATTGGACAAGTATATATAAAGGAATGAACCAAGGCCAAAGAATGGTGCATACCTTGTTATATTCCATAGCTTGCTAAGACCGGGTCCCCTCAGATATGACGATAAGTACGTTCCTGCTGTTAATAATCTAGGTTTCCCTATGGGCATATCCCTTAAAATAGAAAATCAC